AAAAAAAAAGCTTGATTGAGAAACTTAGATTAAGTACACTTTTTAAAATGATGCAAAACTGGTTAGAGAACAAAAGAAAGGAAAGGCTTGTTTGCACAAAATCTGGGCACTTGCAGGAATGAGTCAAAGGGAAAAGTGATGGGTTTTCAGTGCAGGGAAGAACTGGTAGCACAGCACAATGAGCTGGTGTTGACTGAGGGTTTAATGTGTTTAACAAGGTGTGAGGGTGGAAGGTCTTGAGAGTACATGCTTGCGTCACAGGAATCCATCAATAATTTCGAAACGCCGCGCGATCTTCGGCAACTGCAACACGTCCGTCAACGGCTGCAAACGAGTTTCTTTACCAATAGACACACTGAAAATTTCGGGAGCCATCGGATTTTGCATACCTGTGGGGCGTTCGGTTTCTTTTCGTTCAACTGTACTTTAACCTACGCCCCGGGAGTCCAGTCCAAAAGCACAGACGTTTTCACCTGAGCACTTCCCTTCACGGTCAAGTTTTTCGCAAACGTTTTTTTCTTCAAGTAAAGGTTTGTCTTCAGAGTACACGAAAGATCAATCATTCTCAAAACAAGGAAAGTCTTCAAATTCTTAAGGGGAAACAGTTTTACAGTGAATATTAGGTCTGCTGTCTTGACATCAGAGATACAATGATTGCGGCCCTCCAGGACTGAGTGTCATTGTAGATAACTGTAATCATCCATGATTAAAGACCTGGAAACTGTGGTAATGTGTGGTAAGACAGACCCCTTAAGTGAACAATTCATTTAGATCAAGTCATTAATCATACAGGATGAAAACCAGAGGACAGCCTTACAGGACCAGGAGTGAATATCAGTGCTTTAGATGGACAGCAGATACCCTAAAGATCTTACGACGAGAAAATAAAACAGGCTTTTCTAAGGACAACCCTGAACATCTTCAAAGGACCCCCAGGTTTCAGGCCTCATCCTTTCCCTCACTGTGTGGGCGCCATGTTATTTCACACAGCCCTCCAGTGGAACTAGATTTATAACATGCCAAATACATTCTGGGAAAAGGAAAAGCAGGCCTAACAACACCGGACCGCCGGGAGAACCAACGAGCGAGAGAGCTCTTGGCATTCAAGAAAATCCGAGAGGCTCACACCGAGAAATCTCTCCGGCCCAGGCCGGATTTTATCATACCCCATCCTGGGCTCACAGGAGGGGAAACTGCGGAAAAGCTTGGCTGCTTGTAACACAAGGGGGTTACATCTATAGCTGCAGCCAGCCTTCAGATCTTCCTTTATTTATTAGCCTTTCAGTGATTTATCCTCTGCTCAGAATAAATAGCTTTCTTCTGAAAGGAGAAGGAATCCTTCTGTTCCTGGCAGGGACTTTCTTCGATGACGTACAGACAACGGCTCTTCTAGTGTGTTTGTGATCTTTTTTTGTTACTGTGACAGGGCCAGATGAAGTCGGTTTAAAAATACTGCACAGTATACATGTTTATTTAAAGTAGGTAGCTGCATCAGCATGTGTAGGAGCAAGTAAAGGTTTATTCCATGATGTTGACTGCCCTGTTTTTCTCACACCCGAAGAAGGCTGGGAGAACGTGGTGTTTCTTCTCTTTTCAGCACTTTTATGAAACCGTGCTGGGACAACTGTGCGCATTTGATTTTAAGAACGCACATTTTCTAAACAATAAATGAAGAAATAGAAGAGGAAAACTACAGAAAATTACATGCAGATGCAGAGAATCAAACGCCACCATGCAATCAGACAGCTGCACAGTGAGAAATGAATCCTGAGAGTGGGGGAGGGGCAGGCTCAAGCCTCCTAGGGCCACTAGGAGGCACTGCAAAGCACACTGCTGTGTATCCCTTACAGTCTAGGAAAACAGCCATTGTCAGGTAATCGGTACCTTTTTCCTTAGTTACTCAAAGGCACAGCATGTTTTTCCAATAATGTTTATTTTCTGTATATACTTTCCAACATCCCTTTATTTTGTCGCTGAATGAAAACAAACGTATACGCTGTACAAGAAAGTCTGCCCTTTCTATTAAGCTCGGAGCAACAACATTTTCAGGTGACAACTGGGACCTGTTTCATTGTCCATAAATTCCCATATTCTATACTCTCCTCAAAGCTGACAAAAGGCCCCAGCAATGCATATGCACATGTGGACACTAAGCCCCTAAACTCACCCAGAAATACTGCATATGTACTGTAGATTGAAAAAAAATCTTACAGACATGCGAGATGATCTCAGGTCCTGAATGGTAGCCAACATCTGTTATACAGGTTGGTCACACAGTGAATAAAGTGAAAAACAAACTAATGGATCAAAAGACAAAACAAATAGAAGACTACTTTCAAAGCGGTTTGAAAATTTATTAGGGCATTTACAACTGTGAAACCAGGGGTTAAAAGGTGGAGTTGTTGGCTTGCCATCAATAAGAATGCTGCTGCAGAACCTGCTTTGTTTAATTATAACCATTTTTCAATTTCATCATGTCAGTTTAATCACATTTTTCAGTTTCATTCTGCCACAGTTCATTTTCCTTGATGACGTTATCTAATGATCCCAGATGCTGCGATGTGCGAGGATGAAGAAAGCACCAGAGACAAGATGGGAGAAAAACCGGAGGCTCGTATGCGAAAATCATCCAGGGTGTGGTCACGAGGGCGGGCCCACAACGCGACATTCCCCACATTCCTGAAACTCACGCCACAGTTATTCCGAGACGCAGCCTGGTCCAAGTGGAAGGCAGACATCCTGTTCAGCCTGGCCGTCTGGCTCTGAAGGAAGTCAGCGAGGACAGAGCGCGGCAGGGCCAGAGCAGGAACTCCGAGCGCAGGAACAATCCGAATGGGCGCACAGTTCAAAGGTCACACATGCTTCCCCGATCCTGAATGATAGACTTTTGTTTCCTCCCATATTTACAAAGAAAATGTTTTACTTATGCTCTACATACTGCACCTGTAACCATAAGTCAGTACCTACAATCTCAGTGTACTGTTATCCAAATATATATAGTCCAATATATATATATATCCACATGTATAGTCATTTTTAAAGAGCTAACGTCATATATTTCTTTAAAAAATCAGAAAAGGGAATTTTCTGAACTTTTTGCTCACCTTATTTGAAATCATGAATTGTTTGTTGGTGGTTTGCCGTTACAAACCCTGTACTACAAGGGGTGAACTGGACACTCTCTCCTGGTCGTGACCTTTTTAGCACAGCAAGCCAAGGAAAGTTTTGCCAGCTCTCAGCCACTCAGAGGCGCTATTTGGGAACCCCAGGTACACAAGTGGCAAACGAAGCAGGGACTTCTTGGCTACAGGGCTCAGCTAGGCCTCGGAGCTAGCGGTCTTGTTTCTGGAGTCACCTGCGATTCCCCTGTTACCGTTCTCTTACGGGATAAAATCTGAAGACTGTGAAGAAGCTCCGGCTTGTTTACATGACTCAGAAGCAGTATGTTTTTCCCTGGAAACATCCTGTCCTTTAAAAAAAAAAAAATAACCCACACGCAGTGGGGCTCTAGACAAGAGCTTCATAAATTACGTTAACATGCTCTGCTACAGCAGAGGCAGCGAAATCACTCCAGAAATCTACTGGACAACACTCGCATTTCCTCTCTGCCAATACCACCTGGAATCTTCAAAAGCAAACGCAGTCATCGTTTTCCCCAACGGGAGATCATGTGCCGCAGGTCACAAGCAGGGAGCGTGTCAGGAGCTCAACAAAGGCACGGATTTGCAGGCTGGCCTTTATTTTTCAGCAGCTGGGACAGGAACTTCCCAAGTGGCGCACAGGGAATGCACTTGCTTATGGCGTTCCGGAAGGAAGGTGAGCACAAGGCTGGGGACATCCCAGTGACCTGCAAGGCAGCAAGTCCGGCTCTCCTGACCCAGGCTGTACGCGCTCCCGCTGGCGCACTGCTCTCCCGTTAGCTGTACGGGAAAGCGTCACCAAAGCGAAATGCAACAGGCTTTACACAGCACTAAGCGCGTGCCGCATGGGTAGATTCTACACCTGTAGAAAATGCCCTTTGAGTCCAATGTCTCGACATGGCCCACGAGTGGCTACAGCAGAAACGTATTTACGGCTTTGCCAAAGATTCCTGGACTCCCCCAGCGGGGGGAAAGGCTGGAGCGGCGGGACTTGTGGGTCCCACCGCGCTCACGGTCGCTAGACTCCCGCACGGCTGCCAACTGACAGGAAGCACCCGCGATAGTGCCTGCGGGCCCAGACGGCCTTGCGCAGCGCCGCGGCAAGGACCAGCTGAGGGGATCGCTCCAGTACAGCCGCGACTGCAGCGTCCGACGACTGTGGAACACCCAAATTAATGCTCGCGTAAGCCGCGCCGCGTGTGACCTTTGACCTCAAAGCCCGCCGCAATTGCATTTCCAGACACAAGAAAATACATTTCAGCTTGCTGGACCATTGACGTGGCATGAGAGAGAAATCTGCATGGTTAATTAAATAACGTCTCCAAGCACAGTTTGGCAGGCAACAAATGGCAACGCTCATGGTAGCAACTCACAGCACGCTGTACTGTATTCAGTAAGAAGGAAACAGTTATTTGTTGCTAAATCGGTCATTTCTTCATTTTATTAATTTTGCCACTCTGTGGATTCTGAAGCATTTCACCTCCGAGCAGGCGAAGCATTTGCAATTTTGTTGTCAACTATGGTTTCCGTCCTCTTTTCTAGTCTCCTACTTTATCTTTGAGCATGTACTGAATCAGTCTCTCCAGCGGGAGCTGGGCCACATTCCCGCTGAACATTTGTTATCTGCACTTCACGAGTGCTGCCGTGCACTCACGCACCCACTGTCCAGACACTGCTGCTACAGTACCCCTCCAATGACAGATCGCCCTCGGCTCAGAACTAAGACAACCGGCTGCTCCCAACAGCATTTCAATTTGCAGGATCAAGGTTTGGAAGCTCTGCCAGAAAAACATAAAAAAAAACAGATCACCAGCTCTCTCTCTCTCTCTGTACAGCGGGATGTTTCCCCACAAGACGTACCTGACTCTCCTTGGAGTTGATACATCTTCTTGATCTTTGCTTTTAAGGGAAAAAGGCTAACTGTTCAAAAGGAACACAAAAATTAAGTTTCTCTTCTATGACATTTTACACATGTTTATCTTCCCCATTCGTAAAAGAACCTCCCAAACGTGCGCACACACTCTGTCTCTGCTTTATCATCAGGGGATCACATTGCATTTGTGCTTGGAAACATAAGGCACAGATCCAGGCTTGTACTTTTCACCCAGACCCATGGCAAGCTGTCACTAAAGAATTTTCCATAATTTGTTCCCAGACTTGGGTATGGCAGTAAAAAACGAAGAAAAAAAAATAGGACTCTGATCTTCGACAGACAGAGACAGACTGAGGCATTTGCTTGCTGGGATGGGAGTCTCGCTGTCGCATCGGGACTAGGAAACCTCCTCACTCCAGGTCTCTCCTCACACCGCTGAGGAAACAAATCGCTTTCACTCACCAGACCACATCACACAGCCGCTGCCTGCTTGGGCGGAAAGGAAGGGGATGAATACCAGGGGGTGACCAGGTCAGGATTTCGGGATGTGCTTGAGGAGAGAGGAAACGTCCGGGACACCTGCTGCTGCCTCGTCCAGGCGAATCCAGATTCAAATCTGCTGCCTGCATCAGCCCCTTAACCTCACCAGGTCCACCACTGTGTTCACTGCCCCGCCAGTTTCCTCCTGCATTTCACTAGCGATTGATCTTGCTTGTCCTTGTGCTTCCCTGGGCTCATGCAGGATTTGTCTGGGCTCTGCTCGCCTTCAGCCCTGGGGTGCACCTGGACATCCTGCACGCCCTGTCTTTTGAAGTGCTAAACTGATTCGATTGAACAATTAATGGAACCAGGAGCTCAGGGGGAGTGAGATGGATGAGAACAGGACATTCAGGACTGGCTGTGAGAAACGCTGTTCTAGCACAGTCGTTACCAACCCTGGCCCTGAAAAATGAGCCTGCCAGACCAGTTAAACCACAACACCATTAAATTCTTGATTACTGAAGAAAAGATTTGAAGCTATGTAAATCTTTACTGCATATACTGTACACGGGCACTTTCCATCGCCATTATCACAAAGATCAGTTCCTTATACTATGCTTACAGTGACAAAAGAATCATTGAGACGTGTAATCAACAGCTTTAGGCTTTTACCAAAGCCCTGCAGTTTTAACAACACACCTGCAACGTTCATACTCAAGAAAATCATTCCTGTAGTTTTGGTTAACTGCTAACTCAATCCTTTACAGAGGTGTTCCCAGCCTTAAGACAGCATTCCTCACTGTCCAGTACCAGTATAACCCTGCTCCTCCTGAGTGAGACTGAATCCGTGTCCTCCAGATATGTATAAGTCAGGAACCATAACGTCACTACATTCTTCAGGACTGTATAAGGCTACCCTAGTCTGTGGCAGAAAATCGTAACATTTTGTTTCCTTATAACAGAATTAAAAAAAAGTGTAAGAAAATACTGGCAAACTCAGTTGGAGAAACCAAGAAAGACGGTTAAATGTCTCATTAAGTGGTTAAAAAGACCTTTCCTAGGGTTCTGAAGATGCCAACCGCCTCTAATGGATTTGGGCAGTGGGCTCTACAGACATGGAGCTGCACAAGAGAAGGCTCCATGGTCCATTCTGTGGAGCCTGGCTGACGAAGAAGGCCAGAATTATAAGATCATAAGCTGGATAATACTCATGCAGTTGATTCTTAACCATCTTGTATGTGCAAAGGAGAATA